AAAATATTACCATTATCCAACTACAATGAGCCAATAGGTAAATTTCTCATCCCTGGATCAAGTGAAGAACAACTTTGCCTAGACAGCTTTTGGCTTTTCTAGCATTGTGGCATCAGTTCATGGACTGCTATTGCATTATAGTATTAAAGAATAATTATTTTAGGTAACAAAAACAATTACAACATTATAAAAAGAACACAAAAATGCAAGTTTATGTACAGTGTCCTAATTTTGAAAGACAGCAAGCCTATAAACATGAAAAGAAATGTAAATAGGGAAAATGTATAATTGACCTCACTTGAATGCAAGACTCATTGATGACCTCAGTATCTCCTAAGCTTGATGCATCAAGAAAATGGTGACACTAAAGAGATAGAGAAACAAAAAGAGGAAAGAGAGAAAGGTGTACAGCACTGAATTGTTATTACAAAGGTAATAGTAATGGCAATGGTAACTGTATTGCCATCTGTGCTCAGAAGGCAATGTCATTGTTAATGGATTTATCTGAGACATAATGAAGAATACATGCATAGTCAGTGACATAGGCCTGTGACAATTACCATTACAGTTACTCAGTAATCAATTGACTCAAATACATGTACATGTACACAACATACCACTTACCATTGCATTAGTGCATATTAATCTCAACACATCCTTTTCTCTAAGTAATAAGTTAATGTCCATGGAACAAATGTTTATTGATTATGAGTAGTTAACGGCACTAAAAGAGAGATAAAAGAGATGGTAATTTTAAGTAATTTTGATGTTTAAACATTGTACTTGTTCAAATTGGACATGCTCTGAATATTCTTAGCATTTCGTCTTAATTCCATTCTCCTGTACAATAAATGATACATCAATTATTACTGACCAAAGGACACTCACTATCTCTCATTTACTGTACATGTGTACATGCATGCACTGAATAAAACATGCACTGTATTGTGAATCGTGTCTTACCATCATGTTGTTAGGATAGTTCTGCTCCCACATCTTTTGCCGGAAATGGAATCTTGATTCTTGACACGCAATGCGTCTGTGATTCAAAAATGTACTATAATAATAAATAATATAAAAAACATGACATTGACGTACATGTGTTAACACAAGCTTATAGTATCAGTAAGAAACTGTATTATACACAAGAAGACAAAGAACATAAGAGATAGGAGAATCCTATATAGGAAGAAAAGAGAAAGAGCAAAAGTTAGATGTACATGTACATATACTAGGAGGAGAGAAGGCAAAAGAGAGGAAGAAA